TTGCTGCTGTTTCTGCTAAATTTCATGTAATAAGATTTAACACTTGGTAATCTAACCAAAGATAGGCAACTTGTTAAAAGGAGTGACAGAGAAAGTCTCTGACAACGCTGGTTGTTGGTAACAAATTAGGGATCAAGTTGTCATATGCTGAAAGAACTTTAAAATATTTAAATAGAACTTACCTATTATTTGCTCGAGGGACTTCTCTGATGCTTGGGATATTCTTATCAGTATGTTGGAGGCTATAGTCTATATTTTCTTTATAAAAGATTATGAGGAGGCATTCATTAGGAAGGACGGAGTTTTTCTGAACTTTCGAAAGATGTTTTCTATTATTAGCAACCATTTTTCTAGTCCGTTTTCTGAGACTTAAATGTGTGAGTGCATATATATATATATATATGCATATTTAAAAGAATGATCCATCTTTTAGTCAATATGCTAACAACTCTCAATTATCAACAAGAACATAATTGAAATTTGCTAATCAGTTATTTCACCCTAACATAATAACATTTCACTGTTTCATCCTATGTAGATTCAGCCAGTCAAGATCAAGCTGGTAATGCAAATATTTACTTTCTTTAACCCATGCTGGAGAAGTGAACAAACTCTGCTAGGGCTTGAAAGGCGAGTCCCTTGTGCACCGAGGGGGCAGATGTAACAGACTGGTCAAATTCTTACATGTTGTTCTACACCCGAGCTTTTGATGGGTACGGCTGACACTACTATCGTCTTTTGGGGAACTTGATTTCACCCTTGATGCTTCTGCTTTAATCCCCATTTCAATAAACACTGATCTCAAAAAGCGACTTGTCTAATAAAAGTTGTGAAGGAGTAACTTCATTTTAGGATCTGTTTCTTGGGACTCAATCTGTGACAAGCTCCCAATTTTTTATGCTGAGAAAATGCCAAAGTCCCTACAATACCTTACATGGCCTTATATAATCTGGTTCTTTATTTCCTCTATGACTTCAATTCTGTTTCCCTTATCCATGTGGCAGTCAAACCAGCCTTCTTACTGGTCTATGATCATACCTAAAGGCCTTCCTTTAGTAAGTCTTATAGATATATGACTGGCTAAGTCTTTCACGTCATTCACTTATTTGCTCAGATGTTACCATTTCCATAAAGTTCTCTTCAATCTCTCCAGTAAATACTGCAATTAACCACACTCATTCTTTCTTACTATGATCTATTTTTTTTTTCAGGCAGATACCACTTTTTTTTTTGACATCCCAAATAATTTACTTATTTGTTACACTTACTGTTTATTGTCAGCCATGAGGCATGGGTCATTGTTTTATTCACAGAGAGTCCCTAGTGTCTAGTTACAGTGCCTGGAACAAAGTAGGTGTTAAGTAAATTTGTTGAACAAATCAATGAATAAGTGGACTTAACAGTAGAAACAAAGTGTATGTTGAGGGAGGGTGATGGGGAAGGTAGAATGCAAACAAACTGTACAAGTTGACAACTGTGATTCTCTTGTTCTTCTCCACTAGTGTTCTCAATTGCTTCTCATTTCATCATGAAAATATTGCTAGAAGATGCTTAGATGATTATTTGGAATCATGACACCTAGTTTCATGTCCAGCAATCTTACTGGCTATGTGACTGTGGTTCCTATTTTTTCTTTCAATTTGATTTCCTCATTTGTTGAAGTGACGCTAAGAGCACCTAGTTTCTAATGTCTTGCGAAGATTAAGATGTGCCTGGTGCATAGTAGGTGTTCAACAAATGCTTCTTGCTGTCTCAATACCCTTCAGAGATAAATGATTCAAACAAATTGGTACAAATGTGTTATAGTGTAAGCTTGGAAATATTATCACAAAAATAGGTATACACATATATTAAATTATGCATAGGTTTCAATTTTAACTGTGCTGTGTGCCTATTTCATGAACTTAAAAGTAAAGGAGGAAATTTGACTCATTTCCATTTCATCAGTGTCCTCATAGTTCTTATATTGTCAAGAATCAAGATCACTATCCAAAAAAATGCATGTGCTCTGCAATGCTCTTTGACCTCCAAAAATATTGAAAAATATAACAGAGACATGGTGTTTGCTAGAAAGAAGAGCAGAAAAAAAAAATCATGGGCTTCAGGTACCAGCGTAAATATATTACTAAATAAACAGGAATAATAATAGTAACTATTCTAGCCTTTCAACTTTTTTTTTTTTGTCTCTCAAGCATTTCTCTGTAAAATCATTGCATAGACTGACTTCTTACTCAGTTACTGCCCAAATATACACTCAGTCCTTTCCCAGACAATTCCCAGTTCAATTATCTCCCTTGTTTCAGCTAGTTTCCATCTCATTGCTCTAATTTATTTCTTGCAATTTAGCACCCTCTGAAATTACGTTATTTGTCTCATTTTTTTTGTGGTTTTTCTCCCACCACAAGAATCTAAGCTTCTTGACAGTATGGATAGTATCAGTTTCCTTTATCACTCTTGGCCTAGTCAATCAAAAAGTGGTTGGAATGAACAGATATTGAGTATCTAAAACAACCGTATTCTAAACATCTAACTACCCAGAACTGTTATGGAGATTAATAAATTCTCTGGGAAAGCCATCTCAGTTTTGAGTAGGAAAGCAAAGAGCCATGTACATCTAAAGAATTATGTAAATAATTCTTACAATATTTTTGAAATAGAATTTCTAGAATTGTATTCACTAACTGAATGTCATTACTAACTACATTCTTTAACCAAAAGGACATGGATTCTATCCTCTTGGGAAACTAAAGTGAATTCTGCTAAGTATCCTGCTGCACAATCTTATGTGCTAAGGATAGAGTTTGCCAATTAGTTGTTTGTTGCGAGAGTACTTATTACTGTTTCAATCTGCCTGTTTGTTTTTGGTCTATTTAGGCTATCTACATCACTATCGTGATGAAAAAATAAACTTAGAAAGATTAGTAACCATCCCAAAATGGAGCCTCAAATTAATGACCAATCAGTTGACATCATTATTCTTTTTCCTATTTAATGCTCCCTAGGGAACATGTGGCCCTCAGATCTGCTGGGAAAGGATATCATGTCAATCACGGAAACAGACTGCCTTGGGACCTTAGTCACTCACTGCTTGCCTGAAATCCTAGTTGGAAAACTTCAGAACTTTATAAGATTAGAAAAGCCTACTTCCTTCACCCCCAAACTAAGGTTAATGAAAACAAAGGCAAGGAGATACAAAACTTGTAAGGAATCAATACTGGAGGCAAGAAAAGCCTAATTTTCCATATCATTATTTTCAAACCATTGTTAATAAGAATCACCTAGATTGCTTACCCAGGTGCCTCCTTAGACATACCGAAGATGAGGTTCAACAATTTGTTTTAAAGAAGCATTACAGGTAAATTTTTGCTCTAGGTAAATTTAGGACATAAGACATCAGCTTTATTCAGCTTCTCTCAAAAGTCAATGATTTTCAGTGTGAGGTTTCAGGACCAATAATAACAATCTTAGGTTGAGAACTTTAAATAAGTATTATAAGTGATATAAAATCTTAGATTTTATTCTAGATCCACTAAATGAGAATCTATGTTAGGTGTGCCCTAGAAATATGTATTTTAACAAGTTCTCCAGGTGATAATAGTGTTAAACTTTGATTAAGTGTTGTCTGTTTAATCATAGGCAACAATCATACAATATTGTGATTATTCAACACAGTCACAAGAAATTACTTGAAATGAAGTAGAATGGTAAAGCTCTTCAGTTCCCAGAAAGATATATATCCCAAGGGAGATTCTTCCAGAAAACAAAAGACCTCTGATCAGAATATTCAATCAACAGCCAGGATACAGTTTTTTCTGTAACAGGACATGACATTTGTTTTGGACCAGAAACTTTCGTGTATTGGTTGCTGTTTTCTCCTCTTTACATATAGTTATTATTGTATTTCTGTTTATCTCATAGATTAAGAAAGTTAAGGTGAAGAGTAGTTTCTTAACTATAAGAAAACAAACAGCTGGTAAGACAAATTCAAAGATGAATGTGTATCAACTAGAGATTTAGTACTAAATGCGATAACAGGACATTTTACCTTTTCGCTTTGGGGACTGTAAACCCAACACACATAGGTGTAGATATTTTAAAATGTGCATATATGGGAATGTAGGCATCCAAGGGATCCTAGGAACTCAAAGAAGCAATACTGGACATTTGAGATTGTTCCATAGCATTCAATCTTCATTTTTCTAAAACCATTGGTTTTATCTAGAATATATTTTGTTCTGGGGAGATATACTCCAAGGGTCCAGGAATGGAACAACGACTTAAATAAACTAATCAGTGTATTGCATTCATGAAACCACAGAGGTTCAGTTTTGTGATCTCAGCCACCTCAAAGTACATCGCAAGATGATTATCTATGCTTCCTGGGCTGCAAATGGTTCTGACCAAAAGTGCTGGTACAGTTTTGGGCCATGAGGAAACGCAGCCTGAGTGAGTGACACACAGAGGGAACAAATTAAAGAATCACAGACACTGTACTTAACACCCATCTAGCTGGCTTTTTTTAAAAAAACATATGAATCAATAAATTTTCATAGCAGTTTAAACCTGTTTGAAATGCGTTTCTACTGCATTGAGGGAAGTTTTCTTACAAAAAGCAATTAAAAAGCAATTAAAAACTATCGGCATAAATTTGCATATGGCAGATGTGAATTCAAATTTAAATGGTAAAAAGACTTCATTTAATTTTGGAGTTACTAATTATATTAAAATTTCCCACAGCTTCAATGTATAGTCTGTTCTCCTTTTAAATTCCCTCAATAAAAATACGCCAGTCTCTTTCAAAGTTCCTCTCACAAACTATATGTCTACATACATCTCATATTCTGCTATTTAGAAAAATTTGGCTGGCAGAAATTATGGGTTGGCAGGATCACATGTTTTTATTAAACTGGGTTAGGGCTTGAAGGTTTAATTTGTCACACCTCCTTCCCTTCCAGATTCTGAAGCAACTAAAAAATATACACAAGAACCAATAGGGATTAAAATATCAACTTTAATATAGTAAGTGAAAAAAAAAGCAAATTTCAGAACAGCATGTATAGTATGCCACCACTTGTGTTTAAAAAAGATTGTTACACACACATACTCACACACAATACGCTTGCAAATACAAGGAATAGCTCTGAAGGATACATAAGTCATGGTAGCAGTGGTTACCTTTGGGAAGTAGGACTAGGGGAAGGAGGCCAGGGGCGGGAATAAAGAAAGAGACTTAGCCTTTACTGTGTATCTTTTTGTACTGTCTGACTTTCACCAAAAGCTTGTGTTGTTTTTCTAAAACCCAATTTATATATTAACAATAATTAAACGACAGGTATTGGCTTTGTTGTTGATAGGGCTAAATTGGAGAGTAAAGCGTGCACCTGAAGCTAAAGCGAACTTTTGACCCACATCTAAAGACTTCTGCATTCTCTTTCTCAAGCAGAAAGTAGCAAAGGTTCGCTCAGCTATGTAGTGCAAGACTCAAGTCTTTCCCACAGCACTGTGAGCAATGAGACGAAGGGCCAAGAAGTGGCTAGGTTCCCTAGCTAATATAATCCTTTTCTCAATCTCATTAAGTTTACTACCCGCCCCCTCCACAAAGTACCAAAATAATATTAATGGGACACGGGTAGCAACTTTTTTAACGAATACTTTTGAGAGGTGAATTCTTTTGCTTCCTTCAGTCAGGAACATGCATTAAGGTAGAGGACAGACCACAACACATTGTTGGACACTTTGTCCCCTGAAATCACAGCAGTTAACATTTAAGACTCTGGTCAATAACAGGGCTGTGGTGGGCTGCCCCTTCCAAGGAGACTCGCTGTGTATTTATTCTTAGGAAAGCTATGGTCCCCCCTGTGTAAATTGCTGACCAGTTCAAATCTGGCCATTGAGAGTCTCTGAAGTGAGTCACAACAGGACAGAAATTAAATTAACTCTGAAGCTACACTATACCTGCAGCTAAAATTTCACTCACTATTTTATTTCCAATTTACAATTATGTCCAAACCATACTACCTAACATAGCTTATCAAAATTATAAAATGGCCTCTGAAAACAACATTCAAATAGTGCAGATAATACAATGTCAACAATGCAATGAAAATGTATTAATTTCAACTCTATGACACCCTCCCCAACTATTAAATGAATGCTCCAAATTAAATTTCTATTGAAGTCCAAAGGAATTAATGTCCAAAATTCTGCCTTTCTCAATTTCTTGTTTTTCTCATTTCAGCCATATATATCTCACAAAGATGTCTGGATAGACATGAGTGGGGATCCTTCAGCAGCTGCAGCCTGGGCTGTCATCCTCTTGGTTGGCTGTCGTTCCTTCAAGACCTAAGGAGCTGAATTAATCTAACCCCACAATGGCATATCATACATTTTTCAGAGTCCAAGGGGTCCACAGGACATCAAATTATCAAGGTATCGAACCTCCCATCAAAGTGAAAAAAAAAAAACCACACTAACCCCCAACCATGAGAACAGTTAGCCCAACCAAATGTATGCCCCCAGGACTAAGGGCAAATCAGACCCATACTGCTGCTGTGAATCAAATTTCACAGCTGAGACTTACTGGCACCAAAAATAAGAAAAGTAGACAGAAAAAAAAAAGTGGGAAAAGAGAATATCTTCTTGGTTTCCTCCTCAGCATGTTGCCAAGCTGTCTGTGCTGGCAGTCTGGATTCCATGACCTGTGAACTTAAACTAATTTGGAAGATATGTCCTAAACAACTGATTGTACTAGCCCCAAATGTGCAGTTTCCAGGTCTTATTACCTTTCTACTGCTTATGGAGATTATGTCAGAACCCCACCGATAATGAAGGTTCCTTCCATTGTTTATTGTAATTTGCAGTAGGGTTCACTCTTATTTGCTCATGAGTTTCTTAGGATGAGCCAAGTAATAGAATTGGAAAACAAAACTACATTAGATTTCTATCTACCACTGCCAGCACTTAAAACATCATTAGGTCTACAGATGATCTAGCCCTATTTGTACTCCACAGTTCTGCTGGGAAAGCATGATAGATGAGACTTTCCATCTTTGCAAAGAATCAAAACCTATTTTTCTTCAGTCTTTCCTGGTTTGGGTAAATACCCTGCTCACCTCCTATGTTGTGACTGATGTTTCCTAAGAACCAAAGCTAAAACCTAATCTAAAAATTTGAAAAAAATCATTCTTGGACTAGGAAAGAAATCTGTATCATTCAGATTCCAGATTTCTGCTCTTTTATTTTGAGTACCTGGACACCCCTGACACCCCTTATTAAAACTCAGTCTTCCTTTGCTCCATGAATGAATATCCTAGGTGGGGCTAGCTTAATGTAACTTACGGCTAGCAGACCCAACTTGTGGTGAAGCGTGCCTGTACAGCCCAAACTTGTTAAGATCCATTGTATATTTACAACTGTCATCCAAAACTGATATAGACAAGACAGCTCTTAATGCCTCTGATCACCAAAATTCATCTCCACCTGAATTTTCCATTTGGAATTTGGTCCTCATCAATAATGTAAAGTTATTCAATCTGTGTTTATGTATTAACATGCAAAGTGATCATCCTAGTAAGTTAGAACTGAAAATGCAACTTGGACACGTGACCAAAAGGAGCTTTGTACTCCTTTCTAAATTAAGACTTGTGAAGCCATCTATGGGTGAGATTTGAGATTGCTAACACACTTAGTGCATCACATGGGCTATCTCAGGAAGCTTCACAACTCGGAGTGTAGAGGATCCTAGTATCAAAAAGAGGTGAGAGGTGTTTAGCTACCTTCAACTTACTACCTTCTCCCAAGAGCAAAGTATGGGCCAGTGGATGCTACATCTTACTCTTCATACTACTCAGTGAAATCATTGTCCTGTGGAGAAGAACTAGTGAAAAGGCTGAAGAGAACGGCAAAAAGTTTCTTCCAAAACTATCAGAAAAAATGTGCAAAAAAGGAGATGGTTTTTACAAACTGTCAAGCATGAAAGCATTTTGTGTGTACAGACTTTACAAATATACTTAACAAATTTCAACATGACCTCTAAGATGTTTTTACCAAATCGTAGACATAGATATGGAAGTCATCATCAAATTTGATGAAGTACACGGAGGGTTTTGCTTCTACCTGATGGATGACCATGCCCGTTCTCTTGGAGCCATCCTCTTTGGCATATTCCACCTGTTTGCCTACTAGGCTGTCTACAACTTCTCCTGGTTCCCTCTCTGCTGGAGGAGAATCATTGGGATCTTGAAGGATGCGGAGATCACCATCTTTATAGTCATCTAAGAGCTGATACATATATAACACAGGATCTTTTTCGTAGGTGATGTAAAACCATGTGCTCATGATAGGTGCCTGAGCTAAGACCATCCCTCTCCATTCATTTTTGGAACCTTCTTCTGTCTCAAAAATATGTTCCACTGCTTTGCCAATCATGATTTCTGCTAAGTGTGTGTCACTGATTCTAGATGATGCAACTCTATTGGGAAGGACTTCAAGTGATGACACTCTTTCATCTCTGTGAAGTTCCAATCCATAAACACAGTCAAATCCATCATATTTGATAAGATACAGAGAGGGATTTACAGGTACCTGATCCAGTACGGTTCCCTTCCACTGTGTTAGAGGTTCATCTCCATCTTTCCATCCGTGTTGAATTCTGCAGCCCACGATATTTCTCCGAGCCTGGGACGTGAGTCTGCTCCGATGTTTCTTGTGTGCAGCCTTCTTTTTCATCATGGTTACAGATACACTAGCATCTCCTGTGCCTGTCCTGGATCGCTGCCCTGCAGCTCCCTTTCCAAATGGGGTCTTCATGCCTGCGAGCAGCACAGTCACGAGGATGACCGAAAAAGGAAATTTAAAAAATAAATAAATAAATTCAATGCATAATACATTGAGCTTTTTCTCCTAATTAGAGCACCCCGCACACCCACGCCTATATCCCCCCAGAGCTGCATGGCAAAGCTGAATCTGCAGGCACGCTGGCTGCATGCCTGAAGCACCGCAAGGCAGCTGTGGTTTAGAACAGAAGAAATGGGTATGAACCCAATCCCACCCCACTGCCCCGCCTTGCATTCAACACCATCCTGGCCTGCGGGGTGCGGGTTCCCCACCGTCCCGGATTGAGGGCCTCACGTGCCCAAATTGGACACCTCGCTGCTGCCTCGGCTGTGAGCCTGTGGTGAAGGAGGATCAGCAGGCGACCAGCTGGATGCTTGCAAGAGCTGTGAGGCGAGGAAGCGAGGGGTGAGTTAAGGAGCGCGGCGGAGCAGGCAGCAGGCGAAGAGGAGAGAGGCAGCGTTCCTAATGCTCGCCTCCTGGTCCTTGTGGGCGGCGGCCCCTTTGCCACATCGGGGTTCTACCAGACGCAGCTACTGCAGCAGTCTCCTCCCTCTTTTCGTGGCGCAGCTTCCTGCCAGGAGAAAAACCTCCCCTTCCTGCCAAACACTGCACGGCACTCCCGCCCCCAATCAAACCGCACCGCTTCCCAGGGCTGAGGATCTGCTCCTTGGCTTTCAGCTCCTCCCCTCCCTCACGTCTGGAGTTGCAGAATCCACCGCTGCTGGGGCCGCCCCTGCCCGGACTGCTTTGCATCTTACAGGAATTTCCCCTTTCCTTTTCCACGTGCCCTTATGGTATTCTTTTCGTACAAACCCCTACACTTCCTCTTACTTTAAGGGGATTTGGAAGCATGAATGAAGTGCACTACTTATTCAGTCTCCCATTTTGACTCGATCTACATTTTTTTCCCCTAGAGTTTTCATTTCCAGACTTGTTGAGGGGTTTTCATCCCTGTTTTTCTTTTTCCCCATGTGCAAATGAATTGCATGCCGCATAATAAACACTATGTAAAATTCAGAAAATTGGCATGGAGAGGAAAACAAAAGTTCAAGGAACACACCTCCTATTTTGCTTCATAAAGTTCAGCACCAGCATTTTCAAACACAATTTATTTTTTAAATTTGCTTATTTTTATTTGAAAGGCAAAATTACAGAGAGAAAGGAGAGACAGAGGAAGAAAGATTTTGATCCACTGGTTCACTCTTCAGATGGCTGCAATAGCTGGAGCTGAAGTATTCCAAAGCTAGGATCCTCTCGGGTCTCCCCACGTGGGTGCAAGGCACAAAGACTTGAGCTGTGGTCTGCTGCTTTCCCAGGCCGGAAGCAGAGAGCTGCTGCAAAGTGAAGCAACCAGGACACAAACTAGCGCCTGTATGGGATGTGGTACTTGCAGGCAGAGGACTAGTCTCTTGAGCTACTGTGCAAGCCCTAGCACAAATATTTTTAAATAGTTTTATTGTTTCCTCCTAATGTCAGACATTTTGAAATGCACTTATAAATTGTGCTTTTAAATGAATGATTAACTTGTACACGTGAACAAAATAAATATCATAAGTATGAATCACTGACACCAGGCTGATGGAAGAAAGTACTATTGATGGAAGAACTCAGAGCAAGGATATGGGCAGCTGTTGCTCAATTCCCAGGTTTCCTGAAAGAATGGGAGAATGATAGAATGAATTTGGAATTAAGAAGTGTGTGCTCAGTTTCTGTCCAACTCCCTTGTTGATGTAAGTGCTCATGGCCCTCTTTTGATTAGTTGGTGATATGTATTTTAGCGAATTTTTATGATGGTAAAGTGGACTCCACTCAGTCTGCAGGGTATATACAGGCAGTAGTTATAGTTTGCTGGAAAAGAATCCCCCAGGACAAGATGAACTTCAGGTGCCATCTCTAGGAAGGAATAATGACCTTGTGAGTGTAAAACAAACTGCACCTGTTCCTGAATTTGGTGAATTAATTTTAGTAAAATCAGGGCAAGAAAATTTTAAATTAAGAGAGGGAGGCTTGGAGACAGCAGGAAAATAGGACTCAGTCGCATATAACATCTACATGAAAGGCACTGTATTGGGGTTGGTTTACTAGAGGATGTGATGTGGTATCTCATTGTGGATTTAATCTGCATTTCTCTAATAATGAATGATGATGAGTTTCTTGTACTTATTGTACAACTGCATAATCACAGAAAAGTCTATTCATACCCTTTGTAATTTTTTAATGATTTGATGGATGTGTGTGTATGAGAGAGAGAAAGAGAGAGAGAGAGAATGTCTTCCCTCCACTGGTTCACTTGCCAAATGCCTACAAAAGCAAGGGTTTGGGTGAAGTCAAAGGCACAAGCCTGGAACTCTATCCAGGTCTACCACACGGGTGGCAGAAGTACTTTACCAGCCATCTGCTTGTCTCCCAGAAGACATGTCAAGTGGAAACTGGATTGTGGAAAGGGTAGCCAGGATTTGAACTTGACACTGTCACTGGCAATTGGGCACTCAGAGATTCTTGCCTTCAGTCAAGAAGGAATATCAGGTATGAGACATAGTGGTGGTAAACAGGGTAGCAGGGTTTAATGGGGTAGGACGTCTGTCAGAATGGGTGGGTAGCCTCTAGACACAGTGTTAGAGAGAGGAGTCATTCAGAAGGGTAAACAAGTTACATAACCTGAAGGAGAGTATACCTGACAGACCAAGCAGGTGTCTCAGGACAGACTGAACATGAACTCTACATCCATATTGGGGTTTATTAAGAGGTTGAGATTCAGCCCATCCACTATTTTTCCTTCCAATCATCATCATCATCATCATCTTCTTTATCTGAGATGATGAGTTTTCTGGATGTGTAGTGGGTAAAATCCCACCCAAGACCTCATTGGTCGATGTTATTAGGATAAATAACTCAGTTGGTATTGGGAGGAAAGGATTCTCTTGTGATTTTTTCCTTGCGTGGGGGAAACATGTTACATGTTACATATGAGGATATTTTTATATTTACATGTATACAATTGTTCTTGAAAAAGAGATATTAATTTTTATACAATGTATGATTTATGACAATTATAAAGAAAGGAAACAAGAATATATTCATATATAAATGATGTTAGTGAAGACAATACTTATAGCTATGTATATGCAAACAAACTCATTCACACATATTAATACTCTGTGTTAATTTCCACATATGATACAAAATGTGTGGTATTTGTATTTCTGTGTCTGGCTTATTTTGTTGCAAGGGTCAGGATTTCATATTTTTTGGCTGAGTAATATTCTTTCTGCAGTCACCAAATGATAGGCATTTAAGTTGATTCCATGTCTTTGCAGTTATGAAAAAGTGGGATAGTTGTTTCATAGTTCATTTATTGAAAACTTTTTATACTGTTTCCATAATGATTTTATTAATCTGCACTTTATTTAATTTTAAACTCTTATCTTTATTTACTATTTTCCATAAGTTTAACACTCTATTAGGCAATGATAACAGCACATGGCAAGTAGAAAATAATAACAAAGAACAGCAACAAAACCCTGAAACAAACAGAAAACCAAAAAGCCCTACTATTCCTCAGGTGTATAAATAAAGGTTGTACATAATAATCAAACACCAGAATGTCACTCTCGCATCTATATATATTTTGGGGGGCTCTGTGTATTAGTTATTACAGATAAGGGAAAACATATTTGTGTTTGAGGGGCTGGTTTATTTCACTACCCATTTATTTAGCAAGTCATCCATTGATGGACATCTGGGTTGATTTCATTTCTTATCCATTGTGGACTGAGCTTTTATAACACAGAGTATAGATAACTCTTTCATACGATGATTTAAATTTGTTTGGATAAATTCCAAACAGTGGGATTACTGGGTCATGTGGTAGATCTATTTTCAGATGTCTAAGGAATCTTCAGAGTGTCTTACATAATGTTTGCACCAATTTACATATCCACCAAGGGTGAATTAGTGTAACTTTCCCCCAACATCCTCATAAGCATCTATTATTTTTGAATTTTTGGATTTTAGCCATTCTTACTGGGATAAAGTAACCCTTCATTGTGTCTTTTATTTGTGCATACCTGATGACTAATAGACATGATCAACAGTTGTGAGCTGCTGCCAATCTCACCACTACAAGCAGGATGAAATCTCTCCAGAACCCACTGGTTGAAATAGCCCACCTTAGAGTCTCCATTTGCCCATATATGTTCACTGCCAACACATGGCTGGGGTAGATGATCAATTTGTTCTGTCTTCCATCTTCTGTTGTGGTACCAGGTATTCTCTGCAGGCACCAATGTACTGCCATGTCCCCCATGTGTATCTGGATATACTGCCCACTCACTCATCTAAGCCACTGAGGAGGCCCAATTTTGACTCATGCACTCTACGGCCTGACCATGGAATCTCTCCATGGTTGGGGTTCTGAGTCTAGCAATTCAATTAGGGGGGATTCCCAAAGAAAGTTCATCTGAGGTGATCCTAGACCTGATTCTTGGGTGTGCATGCCAATACAGGGTCTGGCACGGTCCATCACCCCAATCAGCTTATGTACATGCTGGTGGTTGCAGTTGCTGGGTCAGTTCTATCTTCAGCCCTATCTTCCACGCAAACCAATAGGTATTGCAGCCCAGCCAAATCCTGCTAACCACACACTCGGTCCTCACATACACCAGTAAGAGCTGAAGACTAGTCAGAGCAACTCTCAATAACCCCCACTAGGCCCACCCCTTGCACTGATTCCCATGCTTGCCAGTATGTACAGCAGACTTGTCCAGTCTGTCCCATATCCCATTCAGCTCTCATATACTTCAATGGGCTTTGAAACCTAGTTCAACCCAACCAGCCCCACTAACCAGCCCACACACATGCTAGTGGGTTCTACTCTCTGTCTAGTCATGCCTGCCCCAGTTGTGGTTCTCATGCTCACTAGTCAGAGTGGCAACCCAGGAGGAAGTGCTCACTGTTTCTCTAATGATCTCAATCCCACTCCTGGATCTTATACTCTCTAGGTGGTTTTGCAGTTTAACTTGACAGAAGTTGGCCCCTGTGCCAGTATC